TCCTTCCTTCCTTCCTTCCTTCCTTCCTTCCTTCCTTCCTTCCTTCCAAAACAGCCTGAATTCCTTTGATTTTCCTATGGCATGGTCTCTAATCCTTTCCCCATTCTAGTTACCCACTTGTAGACATGCTCCAGTTTGCCTGGTAAGAGAGGAGGGGGCATTTCTTGTGGGAAATTTTGGGACAAGCATGTTCCAGGATGATAAAGATCTTTCGGTGTTGAGGGGAAGATGATTGGGTGATTATATCAGTTGTTAATTGCCAATATTAAACAAAGAACTGCTACCATTTCAAAGGTTTCTTTTTTTTTTTCTTGCAGGAGCAGTGGGATGAAGGAAGGGTAGGTATTATCAATGGCTCAGTTTACAACAATATCAAAAATAATTAATAGCTTTCATCAGTAGCTGGTTGACAGGATCATAGCTTTAGAACTGGGAGAGACTTTACAGATTGTCTAGTTTGGGGCTCTTAACCTGCAGTCCATGGATCCCATGGGGGCTGGGCTCCAGGGGGTCTGGGACATGAATAGGGTTAAGAACTCCTGATCTAGTTCAACCCTCTTGTTTTACAGACAAGGAAATGGAAGCCTAGAGAGGTTGTGATTGAAACCACAGGTTCTTTTGACTCGACATGTAGAGGTTTTGCCATTGCTTGATTAGAAATAAGAGCAATGATGTGGTTCTAGGTTCCCCAGGGAGGAAAAATCCTAGCTGATGGGAGAGTAGCCAGAGGTATTAAGTGCCAGCTCTGTGTAAGGCACTATGAAAAGGTAAGTTGAAGATACAGAGAAGGAAAGATTCAGGCTGTAGCCTGGAGCTTTTAATGTATTCATGAGATAATAGGCCCTATGTGCTCATTCTAATGCCAGGTAGAACGGGTTAGTGTGATAAGAGAAGCAGGCAGAGGGCTTTTCTAGTTGAGAGGAGGGATCAATTACTTCCAGTTTGCGTGAATGAATCCGAGATGCCTACATGGCATTTGAGTTCGGCCTTGAGATATCGGTAGAAATGGATGAGTGGAGCCTGAAGGAATGAAGAGGCATTCCAGGTGAAGGGCGCCCAGTGTGAGTGATGGCAAAGACTCAGTAAAGAGCTGGGGTGCTGAGGGAAAAGCAGATAGTTAGTTTGGCTGAAGGGTGCCGCGTCGGAACCAGGTAACAGTTCTTATTTCTGTAGCCTTTTATAGTTTGTAAAGTATTGTTTCCCCCATTTGACAGATCAGGAATGTTAGGCTTAGAGAGGTTAAGGATTAGTTAGAGCCAGGTTTTGTTGTAAAGGTAGGTTGGAGCCACACTTTCTACCTCCAATTCATTTCCATTCGATATAGAATTTCACATTATTGATAAAATGGGAATAAGTGGATTAAGAATTGGTTGATTGACAAGACACCAAAGTAGTAATTAACAAATTAAAATCAACCCAGAAAGAGTGCTTTAGTAGAATGACCCAAAGTTCTGCCCCCTTGGCTCTGTGTTATTTGATATTTTTATCAATGATTTAAATGAAGATGTGGATAGAATACTTTCCAAATCTGCATTTAACATGAAGCTGGGAGAAATAGCTAGCACATTGGCAGCAAAATCAAGATCCCAAAAGATTTCAACATGCTGGAATGATGGGCTGAAATTTCATCTAAATATATGTAAAGCCCTAGGTTTGAATGAAAAAATCAGTGGCTTGGGGGGGAGGGGCTCATGGATAGTCAATGATGCATTTGAAAAAGACCTAGGGGGCTGTTGCTACAAACTCAGGGTAAATCAAGATTGTGACACGTAGTCAAAAAAAGTCATCAGTCTTTTTTTGAGCACCTACTATGTGCCAGGTACTGGGAGCGCAAAGAAAGGCAAAAGCAGCCTCTGCCTTCAAGGGGTGACAGTTTAGTGAGAGCAAGAACATACAGACAACTCCATACAAACAAGGCATTACAAGATAAATTGGAGACGATCACGGAAGGATAGCACTAGATTTAAGGGAGACCGAGACAGGCCTCTTACAGAAGGTACAGTCGGAGCTGACTGTGGAGGGAAGCCAGGGCATGGAGGTAAGGAGGGACAGCCAATGAAGGGACAGCCAGTGAAGATGCACTGAGTCTGGACATACAATGTCCATGTGGAAGCTACTGCAAAGAAGGCCATTGTTTCTGGGTCAGAGAGAACGTGGAGGGGAAGACCGGAAAGGTAGGAAGGGACCAGGTTGTGAAGGACTTTAAAGACCAAATAGAAGATTTTATGTTTGATCCTGGATATAATATAGAACCACTGGAGTTTATCGAGTTGGGGGAAGGGGGGACATGAGTGTGTGTGTGTGTGTGTGTGTATGTGTGTGTGAGAGAGAGAGAGAGAGAGACAGAGACAGAGACAGAGAGACAACAGACAGAGATAGACACAGACAGACAGGAGAGACAGAGAGAAACATGGTCAGAGCTGAACTTTAGGAAGATTGCTTTGGCAGCCAAGTGGAGGATTGACTGGAGTGGAGGGACTTCAGACAGGAAGACTTCCAAAGGCTACTGCAATAGTCCAGGTGTGAGGTGATAAGGGCACCAAGATGGCAACAGTGACATAGATGAGAAGAGGGAGTTTATGAGAGATCTTGTGAAAGCATAGACTAGAAGAGGGAGTTTATGAGAGAACTTGTGAAAGCAGAATAAACAGCACTTGGCAGTACGTTATATACAAGGGACAAAGGAGAGAGGCATTGAGAATGTCACCTGTATAGCGAACCTGGGTGACTGGGAGGATGGTGGCATCTTCAACAGTAAAAAGGAATTTTGGAAGAGGGGAGGCTTTAGGAGAAATAGAATGAGTTTAGGTTGGGGCATGTTGAGTTTAAGATGTCTACTGGACATCCATTTCAAGATATGGCAGCTGGAGATGCAAGTCAGGGGAGAGGTGAGAGCTAGATTAATAGATCTGAGAATCATCAACATGGAGATGATTATTGAACCCAGGGGAGCTGGTGAGATCACATCCCCAAGCAAAATATTAAAGAAGAACAGAAGAGGACCAGGAGAGAGCCTTGGAGGACACCCATAGTTAGTGGGCATGACACAGATAAAGATCCCCCAGAGGAGACTGAGGAGGAGCAGTCTGATAGATGGGAGGAGAACCAGGAGAGAGAAGTGCCACGGAAGCTTAGATGGGAGAGAGGACCTAGGACAAGAGCTTCTTAATGCCAAAGGCTGCAGAGAGAAAGATCGAGGAGGATGAGCGTTATAATATGTCTAAGGCTGCATGTTCAGAATGGGAGGTGGTAATGCCATTGTACTCTGCTCTGGTCAGACCACATAGGAAGATTGTGTTCACTTCTGGGTGCCTCATGGAACCTGACTCATGGGAGATTTTTAGCCTGAAGAAGAAAAGATGGTAAATATTTGAAGGACTGCCAAATGCAAGAAGGATTAGAATTGTTTTTCCTTGGTCTTAGACTACAGATCTAGTGGCAGTATGGAAGTAGCAGAGGTTGGTTTTTGGCCAACATGAGGACACATTTGCTAACAATTAGAGCTATCCAAAAAAGGGCATGGGCTCCATTGGGAGGTAATGAGTTCTCCATCACTGGAGATCTTCAGAGGGAAACCGGATGGATGCCTTGTTGGGGTTATTGAGGAAGGGGAGATTGTTCAGACGTGGATTGGAGCAGATGACCCCGAGGTCCCGGTCACCTTTGAGGTTGCATGATTCTGTAATGTATGATTTTGAGCACATCTTTTCTCTTGCCTGATCCTTAGTTTTCTCATCCCTAAAATGAGAGGGCTGGTCCCTTCTGGCTGTAAATCAAATTTAAGGAATTTTTGGGCTAGACCATATCCTGTATCGGATAATGAGGCCTGTTGACAAAGACAGCCTAGCTCTTAGGTACTGCACTCTTCTGGGGGACTGGAGCTGGATTTGGGGAATGGTGGCAGGTGAATAAGGTTCTAGGAATCAAGATTTCAGAAATGGGTTCAAAGGAACTGGTGATAAGGGAGGAGAAATCCTGCCTTGGGGTTAGGGAAATATTGGAAAAGAAGAGGAGGAAGATTCTTAGCAGCCAGGCTGCTTCTATCCTAACTCTAGAAAAGCATTCAACTAGTGGAGAATTTATTTTGTTGGAACTATACTTCCAGGTTTATAATGGAAGCCAGTAAGGAGATGGGATTCTTTATAAAAAATATGGATATCATTTTTTTTATATCACCTTCATTTCCTAATGGTAATACCCATCTCACCCAGAGTACCATCCCTTATAACAAGGAATTTTTAAAAAAAGGGAGAGGAGTGCAAAGGAGTATTTTAGTAAAGCTGACCAACACAGTGTGAGCTGAATCTGTTATAGGTAGCATTTAGAAAATGGAATCCTTTTAAATAATATGTTTTATGACCCATTTTACTACAGTTTATTTTGCAAAGTGAGTGATCCCTATCTTTTGATCATCTTTTTTATATTTGAAGATGGGACTGTATGAATACATAGGCAGGACTCTTTTGTGTGCCTCAAACCTGTCCCAATGCCATTTTTATCCTCTACCCAGCTACCAAGGTGATTTTTCCAAAGCATGATAATAATAACAATAACAACAACAACAATAATAGCTAGCATTTATGTAGTTCCCACCATGTTCTAGACACTGTCCTAAACACTTTTACAGATGTCTTGTTTGATCCTCACAACAACCTTGCAAAGCTCTTATTATTTTCATTTTATAGTTGAAGAAACTGAGGCAGGCAGAAGTGAAGTGACATGCCCAGAGTCACATAGCTGGTAAGTGTCTGAGCTGGATTTGAACTCACATCTTCCTGATTCCAGACCCATCACGCCACCTACTGCACCGCTTAGCTATCATAAATCAGACTATGTCACCCCTAGCTTAGTGAGCAGCAGTGACTCCCCATTGCCTTCAGGATCAAATAGAAAATCTTCCATTTGGCATTTAATGCTTTTCCTAATCTGGTCACTTTCTACCTTTCCACTTTTCTTATGCCTTATTTCCTTTCCTGAACTCCCGTGATCCTGCACTGAGAAACAGTGGCCTTGCTGTTCCTCAGCACAATACTCCATCACCCACCCACCACTTCTGAGCTTTTACATCGGCTCTCTCCCACCCCAGGAATGCTCTGCCCCTTCACCTCCACCTCCCTCTTTGTTTCTTCCATTTCTTTCCAATCCCAGATTCTGCAGGAAGTCTTTCCCTCTCCCTTCCCCCACACCAGTGCCTTCTCTCGGGGATCATCTCCATTTTATCCTATGTATTTGGATTTATTTGTGTTATTTCTCCCATTAGATTGTGAGCTCCTGGAGGCCAGGGGCCTGGTTTTGCCTTGTATCCCTAGCGCTTAGCACGGTGCCTGCCCCATAGTCAATGCTTAATAAATGCTTGTTGACTATTGACTGACTAGAGGAAGACCCCTGGGATGTTGGCTTGCCCTGTGGTGGATTTATGGGAGGGCCCAGCTGGGAGGGGGTGGGAGCTGCCCAGCTCTTGAAGGAGACTCCTTGAGGGCCAGGTTAGCACCTTATTATTTATTTTTGTATCTCGCCACTACCTAGAAAGTGGCTTTTCTCATAGAAGGTGTACAGTAAAGGCTCATAGCTAAATGAACAGTGCCAAGCGAGGTGCTGCCCCCTATTACACGGCTTCTCAGGTCCTAACCAACCCCATCGCAAAGCCCAGGCTCTTGACGGGAGGAGAGATACCGAAGCATTGTGTCAAATCAGAATCTGCTTAATAGGAGAAGTATTTGAATCACTCTGGTTGCAAAGAAGTCAGACCCACCCTGACCTGTGTGCCTGCCTGCACCAAGCCCGCCTTGGCAGTGAGGAGGAGCCCTTTCCTTGGACGGGGTGGCATGAAGGTGAGCGCTATTGTTGTGGTAATTTTGCTTGCTCTTCCTTCGGCATGAATGGCACAGGTAATCCAGAGACAGGAGGGACCCTGGAACTGCAAGGATGACCGAGTGGCAGCAAATATTCATACAAAACCTCTTCGTCCGTCCCCACCCGCAGAGAAGGCGCCAGCTTTTTAAGGAGTCGACGGCATTCCAGTGTGTCCTGAAGTGGCTGGATGGCCTGCAAATTAAGCAGGTAAAGAGACATACGTATTGTTATTTGGTTCAGCTGAGATCAGTTTTCAAGTTAACACATTGATTTCAGTTACAGTCTGTAATACTGTGCCCACAACCCTGGGTCCTCGTTGTATTCTGAGACAGAGTGACTGCCCGTCAGCTGTACAGTGAAACTGGAGTGCTTTTGAAAACCAGTGGTAGTCCACGCACACGCGTGTGCACACACACGTACATGTACGCACACACATACATGTATACACACAGTCCAGAGACTGCGAGCCATGTTGTTTTTAAGAGATGGACTTGCTCATATTGCTTCCACCAAACTGGCCTTTTCATGTTTCTTAATTAAGGCCGGAACCGTACAAAGCTGCTAGGCCTCCTGTCAACCTTATTAGTGTATGTATCAAAAGCCCTTTTGCTTTCATTCCATAGGCGTTTTCCCAGACTCAAGCAGGGCTGGTTCTGTCGCTCTGATTCTGACAGATGTCTTTTAGCTGACAACGAGCCTCCGTGAGAGATTTTTTTCATCTTCTGACATTTCATACAGATCCCACATGGCCTGGACTATCTGATGAGGCAGAACATCCTGCTAGTGCAGACAGAATACAATATTGCCCATCCCTGATCTTCCTTGGCATTTATGTGTTGTTTTTCACACTGGACTCAGGGCATTTGCTTTATTTTAGCTCTCTACATAACTTGGCATCTGTATTGTTCTCTCTTACTAATGATGGAGCTTGTCTGTACATTTTGCTTAGTGGGGACTCAGGGTGTCTAAAATCTGCCCTGATTATCATGCTGGACCAACACCATCATCCTGCAGGGGCTGGGGATGAGCAGGAGAGCCATTGGGAGGCTAACGCAACATGATGAAGAAAGAGTCTAATTTAGACAGTGGTTCCTGTATAAACCTAGTAGCTATCAAAGGTGACATTAAGTAAAACAGGGTCAGCTTCTGAGGGTCACTCACTCACTGTGTGTGACAGTGACTCTGACTTCAGACCAAATGTGGAAGCTGTTACATGCTAATTTTTGACCCTCAGGAGAACCTTATTAATGATTTCTAGGCAGTTCTTTCTTATCGATATGAGGGGAAGGGAATAAGAATTTATATAGTGCCTACTGTGTGCCAGGTACTGTGCTAAGTGCTTTACAAATATCTCATTTGACTCACACAACAACCCTGGGAGGTGGGTGCTCTTATCTTCCCCATTTTATGGAGGAGGAATCTCAGGCGGACAAGGGCTAGGTGACTTATCCAAGGTAACATAGCTAGGGAGTATCTGAGACTGGATTTGAATTCAGGTCTTCCTGACTCTAGGCCTGGGGCTCTATCCTCTGCTCTATTTATCATTTTCATTTAGCTTAACTTGATTGCATTCCTTCTGAACATTTTTTAATTCATTTAAAGAATTAAAATTGACTTAATTAAAAGAAATTAGGGTGCTTCTTTAATTTGGGTGAGTCATTTATGAACCCTTTTTCTTGAGGTTTTAGATTTATTTGATCTCAGATCTAGGCTAGGGTCCCTGTGGCTGATGAAAATCTTGGGAGTTGTTTGGTCCCAGGGCGGAGAATAAGACCAGAGATCTTCTGTGCTCTGTTGTTGGGCATTTCAGCAGCTGGCAGCAGGAGCCTGCAGAAGATGGCTGTATATGAACCAGCTTGCTGTAAATATCCAGACTGACAGAAGCCACGAGACCCCAGGCTCTTCCCTGGTCTTCTCATTGCTTGGCCCCTGATGAGGGCTTAGCGTCAGTTTCCCCCCTCCCAGATGAGCCCGCTGCCGTGTCCCAGCCCCGAGTCATCGGGTTAGGATTCCTGGCACAGCGCGACCTGTCGGGGCCCTGGGCTCAGGTGGGGATTGTATGCCTTTTGTCTTCCAGAGGGTGCTGGAGGCGCTGTCCGCCGTGGAGTACCATCTCCGCATCTCTCTCTTTGACGTGACCTATCGACACTTCTTTGGGAGGACGTGGAAAAGCGCAGCGAGGCCAGCCAAGTGTGTGGTGGGGGAGCAGCCCAGGATCGTCTTCAATGAGGTAAAGCCCAGGGATGGTAAAGGAATGCTAAATATGGGGCCATTCTGGGGGGTGGGAGAGAGTGGGCTGGGGCCCTTTGGGGGCAGAGATACCTCCACTGAGCAGAGCCCCTGATAGCCACTCTCCAGCAAGATGGTCATGCCACACCCCCCCCTCCCCGCAGGGTTCCCAGGGGTCGTAGCAAGTCACCTGGGAGCACTGCTGCCAGGACTTTGTTCTGTCCTTCTCTAATGCAGTCAGCATGTGTTGTTGTGTGTTACTGTAATCTCTGTACTCATTGGGATGACAGAGTCAGGATCCAGAAAGCTCTAGACAGGCTAAGATTTGACTGAGTCTAATCAGATGAAATTCAGCAGGTATAATGATAAAGTCCTATAATTGAGTACCAAACATCAGCCTCACAAAGATATGATGGGACGAATGGTCAGAGAACAGTTGGGCTGAAGAAGATCTGAAGGCTTAAGTGGCCCTCAAGCTCAATGTGAGTTAGCGGTGTGATATGGCAGCCATAGGAGCTAATGCATTTTTGGACTGCATTGAGAAAGGCAGCCCTGGAAGAAGGGGGTGCTCAACCCCTGACTGTCCTCATCTCACCTTCTGCACTGCTGTGCTTACTTCTGTGCGACACACTTCGAGGGAGAATCTCGAGCAGGGCAGCCAGCAGAGGGGAAAGAGAATAATCATTTAAATAGCACCTACTGTGGGCTGGGCTCTGTGCCAAGCACTGTACAAACATTTTCTCACTTGATCTTCCCAACAACATGCAAGGTAGGTACTGCTATTATCCTCATTTTATAGTTAAGGAAACTGGGGCAGACAGAAGTAAAGTGACTTACCCAGGGTCACCCAGCTAGTAAATATCTGAGTCTGGTTTTGAACTTGGATTTTCGTGACTCCAGGCCCAGTGCTCTGTCCATACAGTGCTGCCTAGCCAGGTCAGGGCCTTGAGTCTTTGTCATCTTGGGATTACTTGAATGAACTAGGGGTGTTTAGCCTGGAAAAGAGAGGGCTGGAGGGAATGTAATAGCTGTCTTCAGGTATTTCAAAGGCTGCCCTATGGGAGAGGGACAAGGCTTGTTCTCTTTGGCCCTAGAGGCCAGAACCTGGAGAACCTGGATGGAGTATCACAGAGGCAAGTTAGGCTTGGTATCTGAAACAACCTCCTAAGAAGTGGAGCTGTCCAGAGACGGCCTGGGCTGCCCTGAGGAGGTGGGGGAGCCCTCTGGAGACGTCCTGGGCTGCCCTGAGGAGGCGCTGGGTTCTGCCTCCTCGAAGCTCTTCACACAGAGTCTGGCTGACCACTACTCATGCTTATAAGGGTGTGTTATGGTGGGGCTTCCTTTCGCGTACGGATTGGGCTAGTTGGCTACTGGAGTCCCCTCCAACTCTCAAATTCTGTGATTCTTCCTTAATTCTAGGGACTTTTTTGTCTTTTCTAAATTTGCGTTTCTCCCAGTGCCTAGCATGCCATCCTCTGCTCAGTAGGCACTCAGTAAAGGCTTCTTGACTTTAATTACAATTATATTTGGGTTAGAAGTAGGCAGGGCCTTAGAGGTTACCTTTATCTTGTCTAATCCCTTCGTTTTCCACATGAGAGATGACACAACTGTCCACAGGCCCCCGGCTTCTTAGGCAGAGTCTGGACCAGAGCTCACCCTCCTCCCAGTTCCCAGGCTCGTCGACTTCATCGGTGGCTTTGTTTCACCAGAGCCACTTTAGCCATCCTGTCAGATGGCTCTAGTAGCTGCTTCCTCAGTGATCAAAGCATGTGTTTGTGGGAAGCAGGATTTTCCCGAGGATTCTTCCTTTCATACATCAGTGCTTCTTAATTTATGTCTATGGGAGGATTCCCTCCACTGGTGCAGAGTGCAGCCCAGCTGTGCCTTCTCTTCTCATCTTGGGTGTGTCTTGTCTCCATCATTCCAGAAGCCTCCATGGTGCATGTACTGCTGAAGGCTTTCCTTGGGACCTATCCTTCAGGGACACTAATGCAACGCTCAGACCACCAGCTAGCCACATCAGTTAGCTCCTCATGGAGCTTACAATCCTCACCAGAGGATCAGTTTACCTTTTGTGACTAGACACGTCCTCTCCTGGACACATAATTGTGTGTAATTTGATGTGACTTCGAAGGCATTGTCTGGCCGTCTGATGCTGGGTCTCTGATGGCCACGCAGATGGATGGATGGGTTCCCCCTTCCCTCCTGACAGATGTGCAGCCTGTCCCACATGGTGCTTGTCTCTGGTGCAGTTGGGTCTGAGGGTCACAGTGAAGCCACGGAGGATTTGGAACTTTTCTGTTGGCTTCACTTCTGCCCTGCAGGTCAGAAATAGTCAAGGGTGGTTGGGGTCACTTCCTGCCATATGGCGATGCTTGCTACATGCTCAGAGAGTGTACCTGCAGGGTCACAGAGGAGGGTGTGTGCACATGGGAGTGTTACACCCCAGTCCTGTTTAGAAGGGGACCTCAGAGGTCTTTGAAGTCAAACTTCACCTGAAAAAAGGACTGTCTTTACTGCCTACCTGAGAGGTGCTCATTGTCTCAGAGGCCTTGAGTAAGGGGGGCCTTCTGCCTCTGAGGCTCCTTCCATTTGGGGCATAGCCCTGATGGTTGGGAACGTCCAGCCTCAATTTGTCTCCTTCCACTTTGACCCATTGCTCTTACTGTTCAAGGTGAATCCTTACCCTTCCCTGGGACATCTCTTCAAATATTTGAAGGGGCCACCACATTCCTCCTGCCTAGATACTCCTTATGCCTTTGTCTGATTCTCCAGCCTTTTCAAATCCTGCTTGCCCTTCTCTGGATGCTCACCAGCTTCTGAATGTTCTTCCTAAAATACGCTGTTCCTTGAGCCTCATGGTCGATGTGGGCAGGGGCAGAGGGTGATGAGGCTGCTGCCTCCTGTCTCCTTGGAAGCTCATGACTGCTCATCTCTCCCTTCTCTGCCTTTGCCCAGGCCGTGTCTCATGCCAGGCGCCTTATCTCTCCCCACCTCGATCCTTTGGAGAATCAGCCCAAGGGATGTCACCTTAAAGAGGCTTTTCCTGATTCCCCTCTGCGGGAGTCCCTGATTGTTAGCACCCCACCAGTGTATGTTTATTTTATGTGTATACTGCGTCTGTATGTCTGTGAACGTGTTGTAAGCCCTCAGATGCCCTACAGGGTAGGGACTGCTTCCCTTCTGCATTTGTATCTGTATCTAACACATTGTAACTGTTATCTGTATCCACAGTACCTTACACATTGTGTGGGCGTTGATTGCTGTTGTTCAATTGTTTCACTCGTGTCTGACTCTTGGTGACCTGCTGGAGTGGTTTGCCATTTCCTTCTCCAGCTCATTTTACAGGTGAGGAAACTGAGGCAAAGTGTTTTTTTTTTTAAATGACTTGGCCAAGGTCACACAGCTAGTAAGTGCCTGAGTCCAGATTTGAACCCAGATCTTCCTGACTCAAGGGCTGGCTCTCTTTCTCTCCACTGTGCCACCTAGCTGCCCACTTAGCTGATGTTACTGGTCCTCTTCAGAAATGAAGGACAAACAACAACTATGTGCCTGGCACATAGATGGTGCACAAATAGTCCTGCCCTCCAGAAGCTCACACTCGAATGCAGAGCCAACATGCAAATATGCAGAGCGCACATAGAGTAGGTGGGAGGTAATCTCAGAGGCCAAGACCCCAGAGTCTGGGTGTATGCAGACAGACCTCTTGTGAAAGGCGGGATTGAAGCCCAGCAGGCCTGAGAGATAAGTGTGAGGGGGCAGGCAGTCTAGGAATGGGGACCCCAGGCCAGAGGCCTGGAGATGGGAGCAGGATGGGCATGTTGAAGGGGTGCCAGTAGGCCGGGGTACCTGACTCAGTATAAAGAAGGGAGCAAAGTGTACAGAAGCTGGAGCCAGAGGCAGGGCCAAGCTGAGCAGTCTCTGTGGCTGCAGGGGGCCACCAGGAGTCGTGAATCTCACCGAGGCGGGCAGAGGCGACGTGGTCAGGCTTAGGCTTTCGACCACTCCCCTTGGATGCTGAGTCCTATGTTGTTCCCATTGTTGTGTATATTTTGAAATTCTAGCGTGGCTGGAGAGAGCCCCATATATTGACATCAGTTCACTAATAGAGCCTGTTCTAAATCTTCTTTTGATTGTTCTGACCTCCCATGCCACCCCCCACCCTCCAGTCCCTCTCCTTTACTGCAAACACAGGTGGCACAGTGGATAGAGCGCTGGTCCTGGAGTCATAGAGACTCATCTTCCCGAGTTCAAATCTGGCCTCACTTCCTAGTTGTGTAACCCTGGGCAAGTCACTTAACCCTGTTTGCCTCAGTTTCCTCATCTGTAAAATGAGCTGGAGATGAAAATGGCAAACCACTCCAGTATCTCTGCCAAGAAAACCCCAAATGGGGCCATGAAGAGTTGGACACGAGTGAAACGACTGAACAGCCACAAACTGCCTCAGTTTCCTCATGTGTAAAATGGAGATTGTAATAGTACCTACCTCCAAGGGTTGTTGGGGAAAAAATGAAATAATATTTGTAAAGTGCTGAGCACAGTGCCTGGCACCTCGTAGGTGCAATATAAATGTTAGCTGTTGTTACTTGCCATGAGCTTCTTTTCCTCTGTTTTATATCTCAGAATCTCTTGACATTACTCCCCATTCTCCCCTCTTTTACTCTCGTGTCTGATGAAAAGGTGACACTTCTCGCTGCTCCAGCTCCTGTGTATGTGGGATCCTCTTGATCCCTCTCAGTGGCTCAGCCAGGCTTTGCTCCGTGCTGTTTCCCACCTCCATGCCTTTGCACAGGCTGCCCCTCCTGTCCAGAACACACCCATTGCTCGCTTCTGCTTCTTGGAATCCCTCATTTCCTTGAAAGCTCAGCTTAAGCACCACTTCCCACACGAGGCCTTTCTTGACCCCCTGCGGCAGCAGCAGCAGCTGCCTCTCCAGTCTCCCAGTTTTACCTTGAATTTATTTTGTTTCTGTTTCTAGACATAAGTGCCGCCTCCCCTCAT